ATGGTACAGGGGTAATGTTGTAATTAGTTATTGTGCCTAAGGTTTACTCCTGAGGTTATAAATAGGCCTGTTAGTAACCCCAGGAGGTAATCCTCTATTCTGTAACCCTTTTCTGAATATTGAAAGGAACTCGCCGCTCTGCTCCCGAGGACGTAGGCATCTTTGCCGAATCTCGTTAAATCTCTGTGTTCTTCTGGATTTGTGTCGATTACTGTTTTCTTCGCCCTAATTTTCTCAACACATACAAAAACCGCATCCTCCAGAGATGCATAGGTGCATGCGGTGATTTACGGTTAGGATGCAAACAAATTTTTTTAAAAAAAAATTAAAGTGAGACCTACCAAAATACATCTTAAATAATCGAACACCGCATGCATCTCTGCATACGGTTTATGTATACAATAATTTTTCGTCATGGTCAGATATGGAAAAAGAAGGGGGTGGAAATTTATTCATGCACGTACGGTCACACAATAAAAAACAATGAAAGTGAGGCCCATTTTAAAATTTTAAATTTTTTTAAAAATTATGTTTATTAGGTGGCGTAAAATAATTGGAGGGCGTAGGTACGGATTCCATACCAAATAAGCGCTCAACTTGGAGTGACAGAAAAAAAAAAATTCGTTTTAGCACGGGGAATATTTCTCCTGTGTTATTTCATGTTATTCAGGTGTTATTGTGGTAATATTCATGTGTTATTGTGTTTTAGGAATATTATATGTGTTATAATAACACTAACACATCAATATCACCGCAATAACACATGAATAACGCAAAATAACACATGAGAAATATTCATCTGTGTTACTAGGCCGGATCACAAGAAAACAATTTTTTTTTCCTATCAGCCCCACATGGAGGTGATTCATTGGACTCCGAACTTATCTCTACGTCCGGAGTCTGGACGTAATCATTTTTCCGAAAAATTATTACGTATGGAGACCGAACGTAGAGATACATTCGAAGTCTAATAAATCACCCCCACGTGGAGCTGACAGGAAAAATGAAAAAAAAAACTCGTTTTCTTGTGATCTAACCTAGTAACACAGGAGAATATTTCTTCCGTGTTATTCCGCATCATTCAGGTGTTATTGTGGTGGTATTGATGTGTTATTATGATGTTATTGTGGTGATATTGATGTGTTATTGTTTATTATAATAACATATCAATACCACCACAATAACATATGAATAACGTGGAATAACACGGGGGGAATATTTCATTGTGCTAAAATAAATTTTTTTATTTTTCTATCACCTCCACGTGGGTAATTTTATTGGACTCCGGACGTATCTCTACACCGGAGTCTGAACGTAATATTTGTTCCTGAGAGAGAGGGAGGAGCGGTGCACGTGCACTAATAGCTTGATAGTCTGAACGTAATAGGCGAGGGCGATAGTCTGGGTTTTTTTTCTTTCTTTTTTAAAGAGTTTTTCTTTTTTCTTTTCACTTTATTAGTGTCATTTTTTTTGTTTAAATGCACTAATTTGTGCACATTTTGCTTCCACTCAGAATCTGTTTTGGTAAAATCAACGTTTTTTATGTGCTCGAACAGTCTGTTTTTTTATATGAGGTCGTCTAGAGGAATTCATCGACGATCGGGTCAATTCAAGTCTGATTTGAGCGTAGCGCGACGAATATGATCCCTTGGTCCTACTGGAGCTATCTGACAGAAAAAACGTCAACCGATCTTCACCTAAGTGAAGAACAATGCCTAACAAAATGATCTTGACAACATGCTCTGAACACGCGTCGAAGGGTCGCAAGCTCACGTGAAAAATAAATAACATTTGACTCTTTCTTTTTTTTTAATTTATAATTTTAATTGATCCTCTTTTTTTATTTTGATTAATGATGATGTGTTTAAGTGTGGTTGAGGTGAATCGTGATGCTTGTGTGTGTGAACATGTATGTAGTATGTATTTTGGTGTTTGTGAGTGTTGTTTCAAAAAATGAAAATCCCTATGTCTAAAAGGTCATCCTAAGACATTTCCAATCTTTACAAGAACTCAACTTGAGCTTCAATATGTTGGTTCAAATCAACTCAACTAGATGTGAATGATTTGAAACCACACATATAAAACCACAAATAGTCAATAAGTAGTTTGAATTTCTAAGTGGCGTGGGTCTTAATATGAGTCCTTAAGGAGAGTTAGTATGGAAACCATATGGCTAGATCCTAGGTTCTAAATAGATAAACATACATCATAAAAAATGTGGTCAACTTCGATCTAGACAGGGTGTAATTCCTTTTGTGGAGAGCGTCTACAACTTTGTAGCTGGACCTCTTCTTTACTCTCTTTCTTGAGGCAACTCCATCATCTGTCTGGCGAGCGTGAGTCCCATTTCTTATGCTCCACAATGTAGGTCATAGGACTAGAGTTATCTTCTTTTGAATTTAGGGCTACCGAGGTCCCGGTGGATGATGCAATTCATGTATTGTTGATAGAGGATCTCTATACATGTGGGGTTGACTACCTTCACGATCGGGTAGGCTTGGAGTGCTAATAGCTTGGGATGATGAGTCTGTGACACACTTACCCGACTAACTCTACATTTTAGGATTACTCTATACTTCTTATTGTTGAGCCCCTTCGAGCTCTATCACTCCTTTAACTTCATTGATATCATCTTGATGGGTTGATTACCGATGAGTTGTCATTAATTTGGGTTGCAGTGATTCACCCTCTGCCCTTATGACCCAATGAGCTCTAACATATAAGGATATCTCCGTCGAGACGATTTTGGAAATTTCGTTGGCTCTGTATGCCTATGAAATATGCATACAAAAACATGTGCAACACAACTACAAAAAACAAACAAACAATTAGCTTATCCACAACCATTTTCTTAGCAGCAAATGCCATGCAATAGCTTATTATTAAGCTGCAGTTGCTCAAACAGACCCTTAGTCATATCTTCAAGCGTGTTTTACTGATTTTCATTGTAAAACATCTATTAAACCCTAGTTGTGTGCCTTCTCCACAAAGGCAAATCATCTAACTTAATAACTTTGATACGATGAATTGGTCATTCTATTGCCTAGCTACAATTTGTAAATCTCACGTGTAATTGAAGCACTTATCGGTGTAGTGGGATAGTCATTTATGTCGTTTTTGTATGTTTGCGTGGAATCCAAGGATTTGATTTTACACGTATATGTTTTTTTTGCCTTTTTTTTTAACTTTCAACATTAGATCTTACGTGCAATTCATCTAATTGTATACAATATATAAACTTGACGAAAAAAGCATATGTGTTGGATCTAAGTTTAAATTACATGCAAGATCCAATGTAAATATACAAAAAGGGCATATGCATATAATTTCATCTTGACGAACATGCGAGTTGGATCTAAGGATTGCTAAAAGTGACAACCAACATATCCAGAAGACATATGCGCATAATTTAAACTTGGCTCCAGCTCTGTTATTTTGTATATTGTATACAATCAGATAAATTACATGCAAGTTCCAATGAAAAAAAAGATAAAATAGGCAAAAAAAGGTATGTGTGTATAATTTAAAATTAGCTCTAGCTAAGTTATTTTGTATATTGCATACAATCGGATAAATTACATGTAAGATCTAAGACAAGAGGGCAAAAAAGACAAAAAATGACCAAAAAAAAAGTGTGCGTGTAAAAGTAAATACTTATATCCAACACAAACATACAAAAAAACATAAATCACTAACAACTATTCCGTGAAGTGTTTCAATTACACGTAATTATAATAGATCTCAACCATGAAACAGAATGACAGATACATCGAACAAATTTTCTTAAACTCAATGATTTACCTCTATGGAGGAGGCATGCAGACGCACCTAGGGTTTCACTGGATGTTTTACAATGAAAAACAGTAAAATATGCTTGTAAAATACGCTTGAAGAGCAAAAAATCAATGTAATATTCCATAAAAACTAAAATTAGTTATATTTTTTATCTAATCCAGCAACACACAAGATATATATATAATATAATATAATTTAATATAATATAAACAACTTTATTTAATATGTAAAATAATTTAATGTATATAGCCAAACGCAAACCAATTTTTATATAAATAAATATTTAAAACTTCAAACACAAAGATGCCAATAGGAGAGAGTTCCCATTCTCAGTCATTCAAGTGTGTTTTACTGATTGTCGTTGTAAAACATCTAGTAAACCCTAGCTGCGTGTTCGTCCACAGAGGTAAATCATCTAAATTAAGAAAATTTGATCAGATGTATCTGTCATTTTGTTCCAGGGCTGAGATCTGTAAATCTTGCGTGTAATTGAAGCAGTCCTCGGTGTATGCCTTTTTGGTATGTTTGCGTTGGATCTAAGGATCCGATTTCACCGGTTGGTCGAGTTTGGTGGTGGGGGTGTATATAGGCCTTCATTGTGATTGTTCGATATTCTGGGAACGGACTGGTAAGAGGGCTTAGTCGAGGTAGGTGCAAAGCTTGCTATGTGGGTATTGGTATTTCGAGATGTTTGTTTACGTTTTGGTTCTGTTTTGATCTGCCTCCTCTTATCTTCCTGTATCATGTTTTGGAGATTGCTGATGATTTGTAATGCTTTCAGCTGATTTCGGATCAATGGCGAAGGAGGCATCCAACGGAGAGCAGTACACCGTGACCCGTCCCCCTCCAACTCCTTCTCCTCTTCGATTTTCCAAATTCTTTCAAGTAATTTTTTAATATTTTTACCCTTCAAGATCATTCCACTCTTAGATTTAGGAAGAGAAGTTGCATTTTTTTTCTTTCCTCTTTTCCACCTAATATGCTTTTGATCTTGGAATGTTAAAGGCCAATCTGAGGATCTTAGTTACGGGAGGAGCTGGATTCATTGGATCTCATTTGGTCGATAAGCTGATGGAAAATGAAAAACACGAGGTATGATGCACATTGTCATCTCAATTTTGGTTTACTGCTTTAATACAATCGTGCAGAGCATGTTTGATAATGTTTTTTGTCATGGCACATGTAATTCAAGTTCTTTCAATCTGCTGAGTAATCTTAGGTACAAACGATGACTTTGATACCACTGTGATTCCTCTTCATGCTAAATGGATCTAATCATGAAACACAAAGCACGGAAAACACCTCATGTTGTCTTCATTGTAGATATTGGTACCTAGGTGGCATCTGTTGATATCTGTAGAAAATGAAATGATGTTGTTCATGTACAAGGATTAAAATGGTTCTTTGTCTGATTTTCTCAGGTTATTGTTGTGGATAACTTCTTTACCGGTTCAAAGGATAACCTCAAGAAATGGATTGGACATCCAAGATTTGAGCTTATCCGACACGGTAAATTAGGAACTCTGTAAATCTGATTTGATTCCAGCTTGAAGTTGAAGTTATTTGTAATTTATAATTTTGGGAAGTCCTCACTACACTTCCGCATCATTTTTTCATGAAAACTGTGCATTAATATCCTTTTATTTTTTTAATTTTTTTTTGTGGTTTTAGTTTGTTTTATCAATTGTCCTATACTGATATTCCCCATCAACACTCTTGTTTGCAACAATTTCATTTTCATTTTTATTGATAGTAATTTCATAAGAGATGTCTATCAAGCAACTTTGAAAGTTTAATGTGTCCCTGAAAGCATTGGTTTGCTTTTCTTTTTTTGCCTCATTTTTTAAGCATTGTTCAATTAAATTAATTGATAGTTGACTTGAAATGTGTTATTTTATTTCATTGATATGCTGTTTAATGAAATATAAAACTTGCTTTGCAAATAATACTGTTGATTATAGCTATAATATTATTTGTTAGAAATAAGACAAGGGAAACCATGACTTATTGATATTGCATATTTCCACCGAGTTGTTGTACCCCTAGCTTAGGCTGGAGTTTATATATTTTGTATTGTGTACAGCTGAAGAAGTTTTACTGCAGTTTAAGTTGCAGAGCATACCTTAATGTTGTCCTTTTTTTTTTCGATTATTCAATAAATGGGGCTTATAAATGCATCAATGTCTTCTTCTTCTTCTTCCACTTTTAACAACTTATGAATTGATAGTTTCGTGAAAGATAAGAATTTAGTGTTGAAATGTTCGGAAAAGATACTGATAATAGCTTATAAACCTTAAATTATTGTTTAATATATATGCTAAATCTACAACAAAATAATGATGACTTGAAAGCGTAATGTTTATTTTATTTTTACTTTCAAAAACCTATTACTATAATTTAGGGTCCGTTTGGGGCAGCTTATTTGGTGCAGTAAACTACGTTTTGGCAGCTTATGCGTTTTGAAAACGCTGAAAACAACGTTTTCACACTGCACCTATTTAGGTGCGGTGACAGCTTTCTAGCAACGATCTGACTTTTCTAAAAAAATAAAAATTTGTAATCTAGCAACGGTCTGACTTTTCAAAAAAAATAAAAATTTGTAATAGCCACCGCACCTAGCTTATCAACAGATTATTTTTAATCAGCTTATCAACAAATTATTCAATAAGCTGCAGCTGCCCCAAACAGACACTTAATGTATACTTTTAAATTGATAATTTATTATGATTGAGATCATTTATTTGTCTGCAAGTGGTCTCATTTATTTTATTCTAACATGCCTTTTAGTTCAACATTAGAATGTTGTTTGTATTACAATGTTCTTGAAATATGATTTTGAAAATTTTATAGAAAAACTTCATTCGTCTTATTGCTATAATTTTGCTCCAGCTTTGTTATTTTGTATATTGTTATAATTTAGCTCCAGTTTTATGTCGTTTTGTATATGCAAGCTTTGTGCCACTTATCATTTTATGTTGTACCTGTAGATGTTACTGAACCGTTACTTGTGGAGGTTGATCAAATATATCATCTTGCTTGCCCAGCCTCTCCTATTTTCTATAAGTACAATCCTGTGAAGGTACGCCTTTCTTCTAAAATAGCATGCCTGCATAATTGCATTTTTCTGGATTATTATGTGCAAACTAGTGGCTCAAAAGAGAAAGAATACTTGTAGGAAATATTGAGATTAATTATTTCTTTTTGCCCCCTGGTTTCTAATTTTATCTTTGTCTTAAATGATCTTAGTAGAATGTTTGTTTGTATGAAGTAGATCCAGCCCTATTGATTCATGTGTTTTGCAATTAGACTTCTGTTAATGCATTTTTTTCTGCATCTTGAATTACTACTTTACTCATCTCCGATTAATTATTTTTCGCAATCTTTATTTTTTCAGACAATAAAGACCAATGTTATTGGCACCTTAAACATGTTGGGCCTTGCAAAGAGAGTCGGAGCAAGGTAAAACCTTATTTTATTTTTTTACCGATTTAGTTATTTATTTGTCCAAATTTGTACTATTTTCTTGTCAGGATTTTGCTGACATCTACTTCTGAGGTTTATGGTGATCCTCTTCAGCACCCTCAAACAGAAGAATATTGGGGCAATGTTAACCCCATTGGTAAGTTGTCATAATTTTCTATGAGTTTATGATATGTTTCAGTCATGTTTGAGAAAGTCGATGTTTATTTCATCAAGCATCATCTAATTTCTTTATATGTTATACTACTCTGATCTTATCATTGTGTAATTATGTCGTTCTGTTGAGAAAACTTTGATCAATACACATCTGTCCTTACATGAAAGTTCATCACTGCCTGTATCCATATGCTTTATTTTTAAGGTCCTGCACATCATTAGAGAATCTGACTCATGATTATTGCGTTATGGTGGCCTTGATATTTTCTATGCTTGTCTTTTTTATTACCAGGGTCATTTATTTTGTTTAATACAAGTATTTCTTCGCATGATTTGTTTAGCACTGTGCCAATCTTTATAGAAATTATGTGCCTAAGGTTTAACTTTAATGTTTTTTTGGCAATATCTACACTATTTTTTTTGCATTTTTATTTTCTGGAGGCAATTTAATATTTTTTTATTGGTCGTTCATTTGTATACTAGATTGTGCCACTCCAATCATTTTAGGATACTTATAACCGGTATCTTGTATTTGTGTTTGTTTTTCACTAGTTGAGAGGATATTGATGTTTATTTGATGAATGTCATTTTAGAGTCTTCTGTCTTTTCATGACATGGTGATCAACTTATATAATTTAACTGTTGTACTTGGGCCAACAGGTATCTGCTCATTATCTTTAGTCTTAAAACCTGAGTCTATTGGTGAATGATTATTTACAGCCTACATAATTTATATCAGCATCTATGAAATCCGTGTCAGCACCTATATAAGTTAAAATGTATTATTGGTCAATTATTACTTTTAAAGGGCACACAGTTATTTCATATGAGAGCTTGGGAATTTTTTGTATTATCTAGTGTAAGTCTTTCTTTTTGGTGCATTATTTTGCACTATTAACCAATCATGTGACTATTGCACGCTTTTCTTTACTAGTCCATTCTGTCTGACTTAAATTGTTTTGAGAAAAATATTACTTTGGATTTGTGATGAAATTGTATTTTATGATTCTTAACATGTCAAATTTGAAGATCCAACTAAAATGATACAATAATATAGTAAAAAATGTTCTTTGCTACGTTTTCACTTATTTTATAATTATTTTATTCTTGCTTTATTATTTGATTATTTAATTTTCTTAGGGATTTAAATTCATATTTTGTCGCAATATCTATGTATTTAGTTTTATCTATTCATCAATGTCCAATGTATCTTTTTTTTAAATGAAAAATTGCTTATATATTTTCTTCTTAATACATACAAGCATAGGATTTATGGGGCAATTATTTGCAAAAAATAGTTCCTATTTAATATAAAAGGATCCCATGGTCATAAAACATTTTTGTCTTACTATTTTGAGTTGATTCTTATTTGTTTTACTTAAAAAGTTTTTATTTTTGGGAACTAGTTTGCATAATTAGTTATTTATTGTACTAATTAATTTGATTGCTATTTTTTTAGGATACATGGATCCTTATATTGTACTTGTTTTCCCTTACTTTTAGCACAAATAAATATTTCAAGTAATATTTTTGGGTCTTTTAGTTTTTTACTTAATAGTGATCTTTATCTTGGACCAAAATGTTTCAACCAATCTTTTTGGACTTAAAACCTATACCTCTTTATGATGCTAGTATTATTATCTATATAATTTATAATGTACGAAATTTAAGGATCTAGAGTTTCTAATACAATTTTAGATGTATATGTACAAAATATTGCAACCCGCACACAAAACTTCACAATTATGAACTCTTAGTTTTACACCTATATGTTTTATGCGATGAAAATTAATTAGACAAAAGATTTAAAATACTGATGAATATCTAGGAAAAAAAAAACTTGCATCTAGTTGAAAATTCACTCACAACTAGATCGTATCAAATAATTTTAATGTTGATGACAATCTAATTGCTTTCTAATAGAAACAGCCTGCAGAAATTTAGCCAATAAAAAATATTTATTTCAACTAACTGAATGCATAGTCATAGAAGCTCATATTGTTTCCATGTGAATAAAATTAAAGTCATGGAAGTTGATAACGATTTTTAGAGAGAAGATATAAACTTGAAAGAAAGAACGATTTTTAGAGAGAAGATATAAACTTGAAAGAAAGAAAGAGTTACCAACTCTCGTTTGTATAAGGAGATTAATCTCTCTTGATTTCTTTTAAGCCTCTCACTTGATCGAGGATTATAACTAAAAATAGAACGATTAACACATTTAATTAAAACTTTAACCAAAGTAAAGAAATTGATATGATCTAACCTTAAAATTGACACTCTTTTCCTCAGAAATTAGGGTAAAATACTATTTTCTTCAATACTCCAAACAACTCAACAAAAATATAAAAGATAAGCACCTACAATTTAAGAGGTCAGAAATCTCTCCCAATTCCTATAATTCAAGAGGTAGGAAAATTCTCCCAAACCCTAAACCTAAGACTCACAACTCGATCCTCATGCATACCCCTACCCTAAACATATTAAGTTTATTTATACCCATAAAAAAAAATAATAAAAGACTAAATTGCTCTTAGGCATGCAAAAGACAAATTTGCCCTTATGTCAGGTACGGGCTTAACAATACTCCCACCCCCAAAAGACACCTTGTCTTCAAGGTGTGAAAAAGTTAGTGTTCCTCCTCCGTCACGACAATTGTCTCTATTTCTTGATCCATTGCCTCCTCTTCATGCACCATGAGAACTTATAATTTTCGATCCCTACAATAATGTCCCGAGGTAAACTTCTCATCACACCGAAAACATAATCTCTTGGCTCGCTTCTCAAGAACCATTGCCTCTGTAAGGTGCTTGGGTGCCGCTTTCGAGCGTGACCATTATTCATGTCCCGTGCAACCTCCCTCTAGACTTCCACTGTTTGAGTTTTTGGTATCATCGTTGTTGTAACAGATTGGTATGACGCTTCATCAGTGATGCTTTTGTTGTCCTTCATCTGGTTCTTGTCCTCCACTATATGGGTGAGCTCCATCGTCTCCCTCAATCCTTATAGTTTCAATAGCCGGAGTTCTGCCCTTGTGTCGAGCTATAGGCCTTTCAGAAATTTCACTCCAATCCCATTTCAAAAATTTCCCTGAGTCGTCCACAGTAGCTCATATCTTTCTCCATATTCTATGATTGTCCCCTCTTGTGTTAAGGCATAGAATTACTTGTGTAGGTCTCTTTCCAGAATGGCTTGGAAACGTTCCAACAAATAATCCTTAAATTCATCCCATGAATGGATCGAGATTCTTGTCTCCCTCCACTGAAATCAGGCTAAGAATTTCCCCTCCAAACATAATCCCGTCGCCACGAGTCACTACTCATTTGACGTATGCACTACGAAGTATTGCTCCACCTGATACACCCACCCATATGCGTTTTTCCCCTCGAAGATTGCCTTCTTCAACTTCATAAAACTAGCATCTTGTCGACCGTTTTTTTTAAAACCTTCGTTGGTTTGAAAAAGTGATGATTTTATAATTTTGAAAATAATTTAAATATAAATAAAACCTTTTTGATTTTTTTAAATGTAACATTTTAATTTTAAAATAGGTGAGACCAAACGGGTCTCACATTTAAATAGTTTAGATGATTGAATACAATACTACAAGTAATACATTTATCCCGAAGAATAAATATATCACTTGTAATGGGGATTCAATCACCTAGACTAAAGAATTTGTGACATCCGTTTTAGTCTACGAAATATTTTTATAAAAAGGCCAACAAGTTCCCCTACCTAACATAAAAAATTAGATAGGGTTTATTTTATCTAGGTTCCTGGTTCCCTATAGAGGCAAGCAAGCCCCTATAGTTAATTACATCTTAAATGATCGAAATCACTTAAGATAACTCTCGATTAAGATCAGGTGGTTTTGCTTTCAAGATTTCAAAGTTTAGGTTTTCACGATTGGACATGGGAAAATCAAATGGGAATGACTCAAAATAGGAACAATTATTTAAGGAATTCAAATGGAAGAAAAGTAGGGGATATCACGGATCTAGGAAAAACCCCGGTGACCTCCCAACTATCCTATTGTTTAACTTTATGTCTTTGAAATGATGTAATTTGATATTTCAATTCTGCAAATTATTCAGGATTTAGGATTTATGTTTGCACAATATCGGACTGTGCAAATAGCCTCTTTCACGGTTGGACATAGGAAATCAAATGGGAATGACTCAAAATAGGAACAATTATTTAAGGAATTCAAATGGAAGAAAAGTAGGGGATATCACGGATCTAGGATAAACCCCGGTGACCTCCCAACTATCCTATTGTTTAACTTTATGTCTTTGAAATGATGTAATTTGATATTTCAATTCTGCAAATTATTCAGGATTTAGGATTTATGTTTGCACAATATCGGACTGTGCAAATAGCCTAAAAAGATAGGAGGATTTACACCGTACCACACGGTAACCTCAGAATCCTAAAGCGTTAGGACTTATAATTGTA